TGGGTACAAAAACATTGGGATCATGAAATTGTAATTAATTGTATTGGTATGTCAAAAAACAACTAGCGTAGATTGGAGGAGTTTTTGTTCAGAAGTAACACAATATTGGTTACAAAATCAAAATTCTATAGGAGGTGCTGGTGTAATCATTAAAAGTGATGAGATACTGTTCGTGCGCGGGATGTACAAAAGAGGGAGGAAGCTAAGTCAAGCGTGGATCTTTGAGGGTCTGAAAAGAAATTCATGGTGCTATTTATAGGCAGTGATCACAGTGCAGACACACTCATACCCCTAATAAAACAGTATATTAAAATGGGATCCATCATTTGTAGTGACAGATGGGCTGCCTACCGTAATCTAAAAGATCATGGATACGAGCACCTTGTAATTAATAATTCAGAGAACTTTGTGGACCCTCACTTCCCCACAAATCCACACACAAAATATAGATACTGTGGAGAACAATGAAGGAGTGGGTGAAGATGCCGGGTATCAGAGCAGAATTTGTGCACCAATATATATTGCGTTTTATGTTTTTAACATCTACTGATAGCCCACTCCTCGAAATATACATTAGTTGCATGAATAAAAAAGAAACTTGTACATTTTATAATGGCAAATTAGTAGTTTTTGCATTACAAACAACCAGAAATGGTAATCAATGAAAATATTTGAAAATTACATCACTTTCTTCTGACCAATCACAGCTCTTTGTTTCTGAAAGCTGTTCACTCGGCCACAAAAAACATTCAGTATTTGTCTGCTCCCTGTCAAAGAAGGTGCCTGTGTGAAAAAATATTATTTTGAAAGCCAGCTGAAAATTTTAGAAGTCGCCAAGTACATTTATCCCCAGAAATACTTCCATGTCAAGGTCATATGACACTCAATCATGATTTAAGGGGACCGTCCCTGGCCATAGGGGGGTCTGGGTACTTGAATTTTGTTTTTGGTCCTAACGTATTGTTACATGTCTGAGGAAACTGCCCTTCGATTGTTAGACTCCATCTCGAACTATTTCCTGGTGTAACAAGGGCATAAGCAACATGGGGTGCAAGTGCATTTTCGCTCATTTGAGGTAAATGGCCTTTACACTCGTTCCGACCATTCCTCCGGCTTATGATAGAGTAATTACATGTTGATAATTTATGATTAAATAAAGATCTTTTTTTTTTTTTTTTTTTTAGTTTGCTTTAGTAGGTGTACATGACTGTTTGAGTAGGCCTACATGCAAAACACATACTGCATTGAAACCTCAGGGATGTATAATATTGTTTAGCTATCGATTACCAAGTCTTCATATCAAATCTGCAATTATGTGCAGGCAAACGCGCGAGCGTGTGTATATGTTTGTGTGTGAGCTCGTGCAAAAGTGTATGAGAGTACGCCCACGTGCACTTTTACGTATAGCTGTGTGCCCTTGAGCACGTGCATGCGCGCGCACTTGTGTGTGTATTTGTGCGCGCGCACTAGCGTGCGTATATCAGCGTGCGCGCGCGATTGTGACAATACACATGTGTGCGTGCGTGCCTGTTTGTTAGAGCATGAGGTGAAGCGTAGAGGACGGCTGAAGGCAGGGGAACAAGTTCAAACTTGCGCGCGCATGATTGCAGGGGTAGCCATAGCATTTAAAGGGCCATATGGCGTTGCGTCAGGATGCCGTCATCGCCACTCCATTTTACATTTTTTGATGCTGCTCACTAACCCTTTATCCGATCTGAATGAAATAAAGACCATTAGAAAGAGCAACGTCTGGGCTTCCTTTTGGACTATATGCGCATAATATAATCCAACAAAAACTATGAAAAATGAACGATAACTTTATAGACACTTTCAAGGTCATTTACCTAAAATCAGTTGTTTATTTCGACATGTGTATCAGTGTGAGTGCATGTTAGTGTGTACATGTGTACACGTGTGTTTATGTTTACACGCATGCACGCGTGCGCGTACTTGCTGGAGGTTGATGTAGAATATGAATTATGGCTGAAGACAGGAGTGCGAGTTCAGACATGTGCCGAGGTAATCATACAGCACACAACATGTGCACGTGTGTGTATGTGTATATGCACTTCTGTATGTGTGTTCTTGTATGTGTGCGACTATGATTGCTCGTGCGAGTATGAGTGCGTGAGCGCGCACGTTTGAATGAATGAGTGCGCCCGCATGTGTGTATATCCACGCCCGCGCATGTGCGTGCTATTAGTTGGAGTGTGATATGAAGAGAAGAGGACCACTGGAAGCACAGCCAACAAGTTGTGACATGCACGAGTGTGATTGCAGGGCTAGCCACAGCATTTAGTAGGCCGCATGGCGGCGTCGGTTGGGGATTTTTTCGTCATATTGTTTTACACTTTTTTATGCTGTTCATTAATCACTTATCCGATCTGAATGAAACAAATACAAAAGAAAGAGCAATGTCTGGACTTCCTTTTGGTCTGTATATATGCACTTGCGTGCGTATATGTGCGGGCGCACATGTCACAACTTGTTGGCCATGCTTCCAGTGGTCCTCTACTCTTCATATCACAATACACATGTGTGTGTGTACGCGTGTGCGTGCCTGTTTGTTAGAGTATGAGGTGAAGCGTAGAGGACGGCTGACGGCAGGCGAACAAGTTCAAACTTGCGCACGCGTGCTCGCAGGGGTGGCCACAGCATTTAGTAGGCCGCATGGCGGCGTAGGTTGGGGATTTTTTCGTCATATTGTTTTACATTTTTTTATGCTGTTCCTTAATCACTTATCCGATCTGAATGAAATAAAAAAGCAAAAGAAAGAACAATGTCTGGGCTTCCATTTGGTCTATAGGCACATACTATAATAAGACGAAAAAATATAGAAAATGAACAAAAACTTTCTAAACATTTTCAAGGTCATTTATTTGCTTATTCATTTTTTAAAACTTTGGTACCTACCACACTCCACAGTTTGTGTTCGATATCATGGAGCATTTCCCCCAAGAAAGAATATTATTTGAATGTGCAGAGAATAATGAAGGGAATTTTGTAAAATCACAATTATAAATTTTTAACAAATTTTTAAAACCCCGATTAAAAAAAAAATTTGTCGATTATATTGCATGCAATAATTCGGAAACTAAACGGAATTTCCACATTCGAATTCACTATTCTCTTTGTATGACCTAGAGGTTTTCTCAACAGAAAGCACATAGAAAACGGATGATAATTGTGAGACTTGGTAGGTGCCGAAGTGACCAATCCATCAAAAATCGATTTTTTAATAGCGCTTAAATTCCCTTCAGCCAAAATTTTTAAAAAATGGTCAAAAGATGGATAATGAAGTACTCTTTCATCCTACCAAAATTCATGAAAATCTGGAAGACCGTTTTCTATTTTCAAACAAAAATCGAAAATTGGCGGTTTTTAGGGACGGTCCCCTTAAGGGGACCGTCCCTGAGAGAGGGGGGGGGGTTAAATTAAGATAGTTAGCGTATAGTATAGGTACATGGATGAGGAAACTACCAAACGAGTATTAACCGCCTGCTATGGCTCGTTGTCTTGCAGCCGGCGTGCGAGTCCCTCAGCACCCGGAGAGGTACGTCGCTATTGAGCGCCCAGGTACACCTATGTGGAC